CAAAACCCTCTAAAAATCATAAAAACATTCTAAAAACTCAAAATAATATATCTTACTATTTTTCTAAGAATTTTTGTGAACCTTGTAGCTAGAGGAATATAGTTCCTGGCATCAAGGTAGCTCACACTGCTGCTGAAGTCATAGTGCACGCTGAGGACTGACACAGACCAAAGTAAACAAAGGAAAGTATATTCAGAGCTTTTGTTAGGCTGAGTGGATTACTTTTGCTTTTGTCAGTAGCAGAGAAAGTATGTGTGGATTGGTGATGGCAGGTTGGTGATGCTGGCAAGGCGGTCATTAGGGGGGTTTTGGGGACTTGAGCAAGCATTGGAGGAGGTTTGGGCGGATGAGGGTCTTACCGGAGAGCGCTGCAGGTTGCAAAACTGGATCCGGCAGCGCAGCCAAGAGGGGTTCAGGGTTTGTGCAGCGGGGGGGCTTGAGGTTAGAGGCAGACGCAGGGGCAACTGAATTGGGGTTGTTGCAGGGAGTGGAAATCAGGGTACCAAATTACGGGGGAATGCGGGTAGCCAGGAGGTGTGGTAGTGAGGGGGCCGTAGTTTGGGGGGTACTTGTAGTAGACATATCTATCATTTTATCAACAAGGAGAAGAGAAAAGTGCAAAAGTGGAGGGTGAAGTGCATCAACACATCACTCAGGGAAGGATATTCAGAATCCCTTTCTGGGTTGCAACAGCAAATATTGAATATTGGTGAAAGGTAGTGTTAATTGACAAAGTGAAGGAGATTCAGCTTACTAGTGATTCCAGTCTTCCACAGCAAAACCAAAGATTGCCTGTAAATGCTTTATGCCTTTGAGTTCAAGATGATTTGGGTTTTGTGAGCCTGACCTCTAATATGGCAACAGGACACAAGAATATGGGTATTTAGTGACTCTATTTCAAGAAGAAACTAACTACAATAAGCAAACTAGAAAAAGGAAAAGGATTTTTCTTTTTCTTTTTTAAGACTCTGACAGTACTGAGACTGGGATAGCTCTAACAGTCAACCCAGAGGGATCTGATGAACATCCTCCTCTGGATTAATCAACAGAGGATATTTTGGTAAGATAAGAATCTTTTCAAGACCAGTCCAAATTCTTCAGGCCGGGCCCAGGTTCTTGAAATGACCTATGTGGTTTATTTAATCATAAAAACCACAGAAAAATAGGAGAGGAAGAAAAGAAGGGGGAAAGAAACAGATAAGCAGTAGGGGTGGTTCAGAATCCATCATCTCAATTTTCTCTTGGGATGCACTTGAGAAACTCATTCTGGTCGAACATAACTTGTGGATGAAAGATGTTACAAGAGGCAATTCTAAACCAGGAATACGGTTACCATTTAGACAGTATCAAAGACTTTGAAACAGAACTGAAACTAAAATTCCATCCATGCCTTAAGCATGTCTACCTACAGGATTTAACTTTTTTTGCCTTCTTTGTACCAATAGCCGGACTCTTTTTTTTTCTCTCAGCTAGAACAACACTATTACAATAATCTCAACACGTACAGAGTCTGTTTGCATACACATTCTGAGTTCAACCACAAAAAAAAGGAGACAAGAGGAACAGGCTACGGGATTTACTTATTTTTAGTGAAAAAGAAAGAGGATACACGGGGGGGATTATAACTTGGAAGAGGGTTTAGGAGCTTCTACCCGGACGACACCCTCCTGAGTCTTTTAATTATAATGTGTCGAAAATCGATGAAAAAAGGGAGAAGAAGAGGAATAAGCAAGCTTTGAGGGAAAAGTGTGCAGGATGTGAGTAATGACTGACGCAGACTGCGAGGAGCCTTCCATCGCGGGCATAGATCCTCCCGATCACTAAACCACGACCATTCTTCGCAGTCTCCGCATCCATCTTGTAAAGCATCCATTCGCTCACCTCAAAATCACTAGTACGTATGCGTTCAGAGGCCCAACCCCAATCAACTCACGATAAAACAAAAACTCAAAAAAGGAATAAGGATCTCGCTCTTAACTGGTCATAAAAAAACATAGAATGGTCCAGTGATGCTAGCATCGACGCTCGCGGCCCTCCTGGGAAGTTCAAGCCCATGGCCTTGCTCACCGTGCCAATAAACCGAAAACTGCAGGTAGCGCGACCAGGCAGATAGCCATCAATGAAAGGTGGTACGTTAACCAATGAGATAGGGATTTTTTTCGAGAAAACAAAAAACAGAAAAAGGGTGAGAAGTGGATAGAGCTTACTCCGAGGCATATGCTAGCACTAGCTTCTGGTAGGCTGGATCCGATCGGATCTTGGCTCGGGATCGAAACCAATAAGATTCACTGAATGAATCAAAGTATTTTATGAGTGTCCTTTCAAGCAAAAGAAAACGAGAGACGGTGTGTGCGAAAGAAGACGTACGAAGTTTCGTAATTAGAAGAGTTGAGGTCGAAGCGTTTGGATCTAGTATTACGATGTTCGATAGCGTTGAGTCTGTTTTCCTCGATTTCGCGTTCGAGATAGGTGAGCATCTTGGGGGAACAAGAGTGCCTATTTTCGTCCAGATACATCTGGAGTCTAGACTCAGCAGATTGGCATTCCTCAGGGGGAGAGATAGTGGAGAGATCGATCCTGGAGTGTAGGACGGGCTGGTGGGGCTCGGGCTTGTGGAACGAGATCAGCAGCGTGAAGATGCTTCGCGATCGTTGCACCGCCTTCACCGCCCGAGTCATGTACGACTTGCCGTCCCGAAGTCGCTCCACTAGATAGATTATTCCCGTCGGTATCGCCACATCCCCAAAACTTATAAAGTAACACTAACAAAGTAACATAAGTCTACGTCATAAAAGCAAAAGGTGACTGATACATATTTATGTCAGTTTTACTTACATGGAGTGAGTGCAGATGGTACCCGACGGGGACGGTTTTGGTAGCGGCATGGGCAGCCTGAGCGATGATATTGCCGCCGAACGCGCCAGTGCCGCGAGTGAACTTCCAGAGCTGATCAGGATATACACACAGTTAGACAAGTCAAGTTGCAGCTGAAATTAAAGGATATAAATCCATACAGAGCGCTGACTGACCTTGATCGATTTAAAGATGTCTTGGTCGATCTGGTGTAGCTCCAATGACTCCTCGATGCGCTGGGTCTCCTTGGTCGAGCCTGTCATAGTGAAAGGCTGGAGGAATGTAGTGCTGTGTGACGCCACCAAAACATCATTTACATATAAGCCCGGTATTGGGACCTTTGACACAGCTTTTATTTAACACCTTCACACATTCGTTTGGCAACCCCCATTCATCATAAAGAATTTTACAGCCAAGCCTCAAAAGACCATGAAGGTTTGGATTCACCCAAATCAGTTATGTATGACGCACGTTGCGAATCACACTTCAACCTGGTTGGGGTTGTTAGGACATGGGTATGCTTATACCCAGATCCTAGTGTCGACCACGGCACAGTATATGCTTGTACATAGTATCATTGATAGCTAGCTTACTCTAGAGAAATACATCATCATAGTTTTGCACTCTATCTATCACAACAGGGGTGTTTGGGAGTGCGTCATCATATGATTTATTCACATGTTGCCGTGTTGGGCATGCTCAAATAGCCCTGGGTGACTTCACACCCATCACAATCAGGCACACCATGACAGAAGAGAACACCATAACCATTCAATCCAGCACCCACTCGATCTGTCAATGCCGATAACCGTCATTTTGAAAATAATTTATACAGATGCAACCTCTACATCAAAACACTTTACAATAATAGTCCCTTTGGTGGTGCTCAATACACTGGTGGAGAAATTGTAAAAGATGCTAAGCAATGCGACATCTGAACCCAGATAAATTTGAGGGGGCTCAACACTAGACCCCCCCTTTTTTGATTCTGTGACCCACTGGACATTGCACCACTGGTCTGGGTGGGTTGCGGAACCAATTTGTGGTACACAAATTGGGGTCGCAGGTCAAATTTCTTAAAATGCAGATTATTTTTTCATTAATTTTTTTGGGGGTCAAATTGAAACAAATTAGATGAACAATAATTATTTTTCCTACACCTTTTAGGATGAAGAATGAATTTAATGGTTGAGTTTATCTTTCCAAAGGAAAAAATATTTTGATATTTTTGGGACTACACCTGGCTTTCTGAATGTTTTTTCTTCTGATTGCAAAGCAATGAATTTTAAATTTGAATTTTTTTTACCACACTTTCAACAGTTTAAAACACAATGGTTCAATATATTTTAGGTTAAATGTAAAAAATATCCCTTTTTTGGAGGTGTTTATATAATTTTCTTTTGTTGGACTTTTTCCTCATCCTCAGTTTTTTTTTCACAAGATTTTATTAAATTAAACCTGAAATAAATTGAAACATTGGGTTTTAAACTATTCAAATTGTGGAAATAAAATTCAAAATTACCCAAATGAATTGCTTTGCAATCAGAAAAAAACATTCAGAAAGCCAGGAGTGCCAAATGTTTTTTTTTTTTGAAAAGTAAACTTTACCATTAAATTCTTCACCCTAAAAGGTGTAGGAAAAAATCATTGTCATCAATTTCTGACCTCCCAAAAAATTAATGAAGGAATAATCCACATTTTAAGAAATTTGACCAGTGATCCCCATTTGTGTACCACAAATTGGTGTTGCAGCCCACCTGGGCCAGCAGTGCAACATCCAGTGGGTTGCAGATCCAAAAAGGGGTTGCCGAATTTGAACTACTTGCAAGAAATCTTTCTGCCCTCAACAATCAACCCATCTCAAAGCTGGAAATGGGAGAACAGATTGTCATGCTTATGTACATTCTTAGCAATGCTGGCTAGCTACCCTAACAGTAGCATTAGTGTAGCATATTGCTAGAATTTTTAAGCTACACTGAGGCTATTATTAGCTTAGTGGGCCTTTTTTTCCTGCTAAAACTACAAAAAACAACCCCCTGTTAGTGTTAGTGGCTGTTAGAAAACAGCTGCAAATGCTACCTTTTCTTCAGGGTAGTTTAAGCATAGACCAAAATTATGCTAACTGTTAGCATATACTAACACAGCCATAGTGCTTTCCCAAGAGGGATTACTCCTGGGCAAGTAGGTTACTGACCTCTTTGCCTGGGAGGAATCCCTCTTGGGGAAAGAGGTTACATAAAATCTTTGGCAAAGAGGAAACCCTTTTGGACAAGTATTTTACATAGCCTCCTTGCCTGGGAGGAATCTGTTGTGATTGTGATAGTAGATTGCTAACTGGGGAATGTACAAAGGTGCGGAGGCTGAAGATGATCCCCCAGTTGGGGAAACCC